TATTCTTGTAAATTTGATGAGAAATAATTAAACTAATCATATTGAAAGCATGGAAAACATGGTTTCATTCAAAATTAACAAACTAAAATAAAAAAGAAAAAGTCCGGAGTAGGACAGACTTATTTGAAGCAAAATAAATTTTTTATATTTTTAAAAAATTTATTTTAAGCCAAAAATTGGTAAACAAGCACAAAAAGCTCTAGAACAGCCCTGTGGGGTCCCATAATTTTTTTGGGACCTCTGTAATAGGGCAGAACGGGTCGTGTCGCCTAAATTATTATTATTATTATTTTTTATCTTGTTGATCCTGATGAAATAAGGCTACTGAAACTTGCAGAAGCAGAAAAATCAGACTTTTTGATGAAATAAAATTAAAACAACGTGAAACAAAAGAACAACAGATAAAACAGACATGTATCAAGAAAAATATGTTTTTGGTATTTTTAAAAGTTTTATTTTGCTCCTAATTATTTTGAGCAGTCACAAGAAAGTCCCAAGACCCCGCCTAAAAAATTTCAAAAAATTATGAATTGGGTGACAGGGGAAACCAGAGAGCGTGTCACCCTGGACCTGGGTGGCACGGTCCATGTCGCTTGGGTGGTACGCTTTGTGTTGCTTGGGTGGCATGCCTAGTGTTGCCCAAATTTTTTTTTTTTTTATATGTTTCTCTTGTATATCTTGATAAAATAAGCTTACTTTAAACTTGGCAAAACATCAAATAAAAATGTTTTTGATGAAAATAAATTAAAAATAAAGCTACAGCAGATCTAACAGAAAACTATTTTTTTGTATTTTTAAATATTTTATTTTGACCTGAAAATTTGGAAACAGTCAGAAAATGATACCTAGAATATGCCTGAAAAGTTTTAAAAGATTATGAGATTTTCGAAATTTTGATGCTCGGATCACACTGGATGATGCCCTGAGGTGGGCGCCAAACTGTTTATAGTGCAGAATCCAGCGATCTAACGATGTAGATCTCTCAGATCTGACAATTTCAATTGATAAAAAATAAATGAAAAAGCAATGGTAGAGAAAATGGGAACAATCGAATTCATATCTGAGATCAGATTTACCTAGAAACAAGTAGATCTGCTCTCAGATTTGTGTCGATCAGCAGGTCTCTGGTAGTAATAGGATGGTTGTGCCCTAGAAATAGTTTAGATCTAGGGTTGTTGTGCCCTAGTTCTAGGTTTACTCAGGCTTAAGATGAGGGTTAGGGTTTTCTTAGGGAAGGCTCTCTACTCTTCTAGGGTTTCTCTTCCAGCGTAAAGTTTCTAAAAGTCTCGTCCCTCTTTTAACCCTCTCGTTTTTCATCCTTTTTATGATCACCCAAAGTGAGTCCATCTGAACGAGGGATTTGTTGGGGCAAAGTTATTCTGTAACCGAAAAATCCCTTACTCAAACAAATCTTTAATTTGATCGACGCGGATAGCATCATGCTGCAAAACCATCCACAAGATAACCTTAAAAACACGAAAAATGATAAAAATGCATTTGGGGAAAAACGTGGCTGGGTGGCAAGCCCCATGTCACACAAATAAAAAAGGATCCAAATTGAAAATTTTCTTTTCAGGTTTATTCCTTAGCCTCT